TTCAAAATATAATAAATCATTTCCGTACCTTGATAGACTATATGTTACTTTGAAAATATGTTAAGAGGCCTGAACAAGTCCATGTAATAATTACAATTATACCGATTTTTAGTAAACAATAACAATTTGTAACAACTCAACATGACGGCAAAGTGATGCGTAGATTACGTGCAAGAAGATTTGACCTTAGAGGGCCTATAAGAAGTCAAGAACTTCGTCGGAGCAGGAAAAATAGACAGAGATAAAGTTACACTTTTGGCAATCTTTGAGGAAATTGGTGGTACTTCGGTTCGCTTGAACATGGAGAGAGTTGACTAAAGGGACCAATTTCATCCTCTACTAAATTGCCAAATTTGGTGAAAATGATTGCTAATCTTCTAATCTCAACGGCTCAACCATTCTTGTAAGCGAGTTTAATTCCTAAAACACGGCGGATATCAACTTTTTTCCCAACCCACAAGAAAATTTAAGGAATTCGAAAGGAATGACTTCCTTGTGTGGACTAACTTAAAAGATCGAACCCAATGAGAAATATAATCAAACTTAGGACATTGCGTTTCATGGTGGGTTTCGCCTTTCAGTCAGGAAGTACATATCAGGCAGTTGTCACAAAGCTTGCATAATGATCCTAAACTTAGCATTCTACATTGGGTCTAGAGTACCTTACGTTTGATGCAATCTTATAAACTCTTGTGTAATGATTGGAGAGGAATATCCTATACGATCCATTTTGGATTTGTATGGACCTTGTGTACACAGGCCATGGAAACTAACAGCTTGGGATCTTGATGCTGACACATCACATACTTTTTTCTTTTTGTCGGTTGATCTTAAGACGTGTTCTCGCTTTAAAACGATCTAGTATTGGAACAGACACTTCGTTAAAAGGGTCATAAATTTGGAGCGGGAGACATCTTGAAGATTGTTAAAGCCGTGAAGGCAAATTCGCAAGCTCAGACAAGACATGAAAGAGCCATGAAAACTTGCTCGAAGACCACGTAATAGGGTTCTGAGAACTCCGTGTGAGATGAATTTTAGCAATGTTATTTTCAGGATTTAAGGTGAAAAAATGTACCAGGACGGTTGTAATTGAGTATTTAAACAAGTAGATAAACTTCAAAGCACCCGACGGAGTTCTGATATAAACCGGCAATGACAATGAATGCTTCTTGAAACTTCGGTTATCTTAGTGTTTCAAGTATTTTGAGAATTTTTGGGATTTAGACTAATCACCATTTTTTTGTTACTTGCTCTTCATTTCGTTGGTCATATGTTAGCATCAGCTGCTCATCATGAGATGAACCGTCTACATAAGCCTTTGAAAATCTAAAGTTAAATCCATTTAGGTCAAATTCTAAGTAGAATTGCAAAAGTTGATCATAATTAAAGTCTTTTCTCACTCCCATTTGAGACTTTGGTGCTGATGGGTGCTCTCAATCTTGAGATTTATCATCCTGATAACCCTTTTCACCAAAATGAGTCTTACTTCCTTACACATCTTGACTTTCAGCTATTTTTGCGCGCTAGTACGGAGTTCACATACTTCAGATCTTAATCGCCTTATCAAACTTTATGTGAGGGAGAACATTTTCATTTTTCTCAATTAAAACCGCCCCCCTACATTGAAATTCTGACCACAAGCGTCGGTTTTTAATTTTCAACTTTTTGTTCATTTAAGTATTTTAATCGAGTCGTTTTGACTTTATGGGTCTCAAGTGAATACCACATATCTCACGATCTATCCAGTGTTCTTGATTTGGCCATCGTATAAGCCGTGCGTACAGCGCACTGAAATTGACATGTAAATAATTGGGCTTGCATGTTTATGATTTTGGGTCACATGATATAACATTAAATTTATCGACAAAGAGCCCCTGAAATTGCACATATATGAATGCGACTTCGCGTAATGCATTTAAACTCCACCTATTAATAATCAACTACATCCGGACAAATTGTTAGTCAAAAAAGTGGCTCATCGCCATCCGGGACGGGGAAACCCTAACGCTACTTGGCCAACCGGTCACCCAAAGCACCCCCAAAGTGGGACCACAAACCGCATACATCGCCGTCCACGTGTACCGACCGTGACGTAATCGGCGAGAAGAGGGGCTCCTGGGGCTTGACGATGGAAGCCATTAATGGCACACACCAGCCAACGAAAGAGATGAGCAGCGCAAGAACCCCGCCCGAGATTTTCAATAAAGCAAAACACGCCCTTTCCTCGGTGGTCCCCCCACACGACAGCTGGTGCCTCGACACGTGGCGTTCCTGTCCGGGACGCCAAGAGTTTCCCGCGTTATCAGCACGGCGGTTTGGCGCGGCGGGGGGACGGATCACCGTACACGTGGCGGGGGACAGGTGTCGTCTCCACCTGGTCCCGGCCTGTGTCGCCGGAGCTTTTCTCGAGTCTCCGCCGTCGGGGGTTCTCGAAACTAGCTTTGATTTCTTGTGACTTTGTCTTTAGTCTTGATCCGTTGCTCATTGCTTCTCTTTACTCGGCCGAAATTCATACGAGAGTAAATGTTGCGTGTACTAAAACTCGACCGACTCCGGCTTACGAAATGATGCCCTTGCTTATGTTGCCGATCGGCCATGCTCCGCTCCGGCCCACCACCGATCCATCGTCTTTGCGGACCGCCCTCCCCATCTCCGTTGGAGTGATATTTATACTCTCCATCGACAGAAAGGTACGGAGGATCTCACTCCTCAGTGAGTGGGCAGAGGTCGCAAGTGGCCGCACCCCCTACCCCAGCGACGCGCTGCCACCTGCGACGTCAAAATGCTTTTATAATTGGCCTAATTCTCTAAAAACCCTAAACTTTAGGTCAAGTCTCAAATTTGCCCCGAACTTTTTTTGTCTAAAAAAAACCCTAAACTTTAGGTTTAGTCCCAAATTTGCTCTGAACTTTTTTTTGTCTCGGAAAAAACCCCAAACTTTAAGTTTGGAGCAAATTTGGACCAAACCTAAAAGTTAGGTTTTTTTTTTAAATTTTAAAAAAAATTTTGAGGTGAATTTGTTATCGTATCTAACTTTCATATTTTATAATGGTTTTATTTTGGAGAATTTCAACAACTTTTATTGGGTTGGATTTGTTATAGAAGGGGAAATGCAACGTCGGTCTGTATATATCGCCTCATTACTTTGCTGATGTGGATTTGTTATCGACGTGGAAGTACCACGTCAAGTTGGGACTGGATCACGGGAGTATATTTTTGAAAATAAATTGAAATTTGCTGATTTTTTTTACACAAAACAAAACTCATGGCAGATTTGGAACTGAATTTGAAGTTTGAGTTTTTTTCTGAGACAAAAAAAAGTTCAGGACAGATTTGAGACTGAATCTAAAGTTTGGGATTTTTTCTGAGATAAAAAAAAGTTCGAGGTACTTGACCTAAAGTTGGAAGTTTTTTAGTGAATTCACCATTTTCACAATCGAATTCCTTCACCCATGCGCTTGGGGTCCTCAACATCCTTGAGGATTGGCTAAGGTCTCAGCCTGACGGCGATGACAGTCACTTTGTCGATCATTTCCCAGTATGCCCCATGTTGCTTCATGTTTTGGAGATAAACTCGAGGGAAAGTAGACTGATGAGATTGAAGAGGTTCAATCTTTATCGAGTCTATTAATCTTCTTGAAGAAGGAATATATCCACAGATGCTGCCGCCTCATTCAGTATACCAGTCTTAGGCTCCGTTCGTTTGGCGGAAAATATTCTCCTTTTGGAAAATATTTTCCCGGAAGTCATTTTCCTGGAAAATATTTTCCCGGAACATAATTTTCAGGTGTTCGGTGATCAATATGAAAAAGTTTCGAAAAATATTTTTCGCCGGCGGCGGCGGCCGGCGACCTTAGTGAAGAAGAAGAAGAAGAAGCTCCGGAAAATGATTTCCGCTTTTGAAGAAGCGGAAATCATTTTCCATAGACTTAGGCTATTTTGTGAGGGGGGACGGAAAATATTTTCCCACGAAAAACGTTTTCCGCCTCCCGAACACCGGAAAACCCGGAAAATATTTTCCGGGAGAATATTTTCCGCTAAACGAATGGAGCCTTAGTATACATTTAGTAGATCTAGTATTACTCTGCGAATACATTTAGTAGATTAGCAATTTTCGAAGCTTAACGAGTGGATTGTGAATTATGCTAGATTTGGCTTTGAAGCGATTAGAATGTCAGTTTTGACTCTCCCATGCATCAAAAATAAAAAAATAAATTGTTAAAGTCAATTACGCAAAGTTCTGATATGAACTTAAGTTTAATTTTTCATAATTTTCAGATCGACAATTTCTTTGGAAAGATAAATTTTAAGACGTTCAATATCCAATTTCATCTAAAACTTAAACTGAAGGTCATAATCTGATGGAAAAATAAACAAAACACCCAATAACCAGTTAGAAAAGTTATCAGTAACGAATTTCTTTAAGCACTCTTACGATTCTCAAATATAGGAAGGTTACTAAGATTAATTCTTAAAGCTTGAAAACAAGCAGGTCGATATGAAAATCATACGAAAGAGGGAATACAGAGCGTGAATGTGAGAATTAGTGTGCGAAACCCTCATTTGTCTATGGATATTATATTAAGCAGGATAAGCAGCCGATTATATTGATAAATTATGCTATCATTAGTATAACCTCATGAGTACGGACATCATATCTTAAAAATAAATTTGATATTTCGTTCTCCAGTTACGTGCTGCAGTTGCTATATAAGCCTTGACATGAACTCAAGAGTTGATATCTGCTGGTGCTGATGTGCATGTCTTGGGGAAGATCTTGCACAGGATCCAGGCGACAGAAAATTTAGTACGACAATTGGTTGAAATATACAAAACTGTGGAGCTTGTGCAGCTTTAATTGACTTTTGTGCTCCCATAGAAGATTTAAAATTTTTGACTTGCCATCTATGTTGACCAGTTTTGCATGTCGGCTGGGTTGAAGATTCCCATCCTTGTAACAAGTAGATGAATGAATTGAAGATGAAGCACAAAGACAAAAGAGAAACCTACGGATAGTAATTAAAGACTTTTTATTGAAAAGAGCAGAGATGATCTTGCTTCCTGGTAATAATGTTATTGAAGTCACTAGAAGTTTGATACAAGAAAGCTCTATAGTTATCAACATCGACTCCAAGACCCGAAAAATTGGTAGCTTCCCATTAACTGGGACTCATTACGGTCTACTAAAATATCCGGTACTTCATATGTTAACATCATGTTGCTGCTATAACTTTCGTCTTCAGTGCCGCAACCATTGATGCCCGTTGAGTTCGAATTCATTGGCGCCGGGCTCGATGAAGGCGTTGATATAGCCGAGGAATTCGATATGGCTGGATCAAGAACATAAAGGTCCTCATAATTATGTGGGATCAGAGCATAATCATCCGTAAAGTTTGAGGACAGCCCATTATCCTTCCAATCAATGACTTGAGAACTTTGGGAGCTCGAGCCGGCGAAATTCGACGGAAATTGTTGCTCTAGATTGGACTGCAGAAGTCTGGTAGCTTCGTCGGAAAATGAAACACAGTGAGTGCTCACCGGCGTGCAAGCCGGGACTTCTTGAACTGGAGTTTGCATTTGGTAGTTTTCAGGCAGTGCTTGGCATTGGCTTTGGTTAATATCTTGCTGTGCTTGCGGAAGATAATTGTGACGTTGATGTTGAGATGACAGGAGCGAGGTTGCAAGCGTTAGGAATTCCGGGTTAACATAGGGCTGGACTCCGACTAATCTCGAAAAGCTCATCTGGGATGAGCTGTAGAGAGAAGAGCTTAGGATCGAGGAGAGGTCGAGAAGGTCGAGGCGAGGGCTGTGAGTCACCGGATCGATTCCCATCCGAAGAAGCCTCTTCCGTATGTGGGTGTTCCAGAAGTTCTTGATTTCGTTGTCGGTCCTTCCGGGCAAGCGGGCGGCGATGGCGGACCACCTGGCGGCCACAAAAGAAGACGATGAGCGAGAGCGTTCTTTTTCTTGAACGGTGTAATTCATTTTAGATACGCGCACCACGTGAAGAGAAAACAATTCATGCGTCATGCAAAGCAAAAGGGACCACTCACTTGTTGCCCAACAAGCAGTGGAGCTGAATGATGGTCTCTTCCTCTTCGAACGAGAACCGTCCCCTCTTGATATCGGGCCTCAGATAGTTGGTCCAACGCAAGCGGCAGCTCTTCCCGCACCTCTGCAACCCTAACACAAACAACACCAAGAACTCAGAACGATGACCCTAAACAAGAACCCTAAAAGCAAAAACCAGTTAAAAACTACCCTAAACCTTGAAACAAGAAGGTCATATGCAACAGAGAGACGCAAACTTTTGAGGAGCGTTATGGTCCTTGATAAGTACCTGCATTCTTGGGGAGGGTCCTCCAGTTACCGTAGCCGTGCCCCTGGATGTAGTCGATCAGCTTCCGGTCCTCCTCCGGCGTCCACGGGCCTCTCTTCAGCCCGTTCTTGTCGCAGCACGGCGTCCTCCCCATTCTTCTTCAGGACAAGCTCACAATCTCCGGCGCACCGCCCTTCTCGTACGCAGCCGTCGATCGTTCAGAGAGAGAGAGAGGGTGCGTGTGGTGAAGATGAAGAGCTGCGTGTGAAGATGTACGCGTATATATAGTGGCGAAGCAGAAACCCGTGTGGAAGACGGAGGAGGAGGAGGAGCTGGAGGAGGCAAAAAGTCAAAAGGATTCGGTGCCGTCCTCTTCGCGAGACGGTGGCGACGTGTCCCTCTCCGATTCCCTGGAGCAACAAACGCCAACGTGGCTAACTTCAGTCTGGTTCCTTTCTCTCTCTAGGGCTTCGGCTAGTTTCTCTCTCCTGGCCCGTCCATCAATCTCCGGCGACGGGGAGAGGTGGCGATCTGACCTGTCCTGGCTTTTGGGATTCACGTTAGCTGTCCACCGAGCAATGATAGGGCCACGTACCCCCCCAAACCTTAAAGGAAGAAAACAATTACGTATTCTTGAAAATTGACATGAAAAATAGTAAAATGATATGGATTTACATGATCTTAATGCCAATCTCGTGTTACTTTAAATTCTCAATTGCACGCGAATCATATTAACCGATATAAGATTGAACGGTTGAATAAGATGGGATTCCGATTTACATAATCTGAATACAAATCATATTTATGCCAGAGAGTATCGTGCGTTAATCAATATTATACCGTGTGCACGAAATTCGATCCATCCTTATCGTCGTCTTATCGATTGGTCTTACTTAGCTTTCACGTGGACTCGTCAAAACCCGACGAATCAATACATGCGCCGAATCCGCACGGAAAGGAATTTAGCGTGAAGTTAAACACGATTAATTTTAGATTTAATCGAACGCGTCGTTTCGAGATTTCGATTTGGTTTGATTTAATTTCTATAATATCAATTTATTTTTTTCGTATAGTTGATGAAATTGTTTTAAGCGAGGGACATAAACTTAACAAGGCGGACAAGATGGCACATCGGCAAGAGCAAAAACAATGAAATGACACCGATCACCATCCCGATTTTCGGGGATGCATTAATTCAATACAAAATCACATCATCAAAGTAGATATTTTCAAACATATTATATAATTTCGACTTGGCACGGGCTGATTTGGAACGATGCAAGGGGCAATTTTGGGATTTCTCCGGGTGTGCGGGTGGTCAAAAAAGTTGGGTCTCTGAAGAAAATTTCATGGATGTCATTGCCGTGAGCACTTAATTCAAGGTGGGCAATAATTGATCGACCTCGGTGCTTGCCCCAAAATAGGAACGTTTGTGGTATATCTTGACCAAAAAGGTTTATCCAAGAAACATGTTTAAGAAATGAAAGGTGTGGTATCATATATATGGTTTGTTTTGATGGCCTGTAATGACCAACTGGACCGACTTGTCGGATCGGCAAAGCGTAATATCGATCGGTAGGACTATATTGAAATTTCATGCGAATATTTAAGATTAAATTATCAAATTTAGAAAGTTTAGAGTTGAACTCACATCCATACAATATAATCTAAATTTGATTGGACAATTTTTCCCGGGAGGGTCTCTTATGGACCAAGATCGAGTGAGATAGCTAGATAGAACAATCTCGTTGGCTATCATAATTACTCCAGACATGGCGATAACTTGAGGATTAGCCCTTTGGGCTTTAATCTTTGTCTCGGCCAACTTCGGCCTTTTCCTACAATATCAACAGTTTATATGTGGGCGGTATATATAACTTGCAATCCACCAATTAGAGGCATAGTTAAAGGAAATTTCCTCCAAGCAGGGGTGGAGGAAAATATTACGCTCATCAGAGTCGATACTAACTCCATGCCCGACTCCAATCTTCCCATTGTGATGAACACTATCATTGCCTGCTTGCGCATGCAAAAGAGACGTGATGATGTTAGTATAAAAGCTTGTAGAAGAAGTAGTACTTCAGTATTGTCTTCTTGTTGAATGAATTTACTTCCTTATCAACTAACAAACTGTGTGTGCGAAGCAAAAAGTCATGGGATTGAAAATCAATGATACTAGCTTAGTACTTTTTCTACAAACCCTTAGCCGTTAAAACCTCTCTCTCTCTCTCTCGACCACACGTTGATGATGATCTGCTGTCGAGCAAGAATCGAAGAACTCAATTTCATTGACTTTGCGCAAAAATGATTGAACGAATGATTATATAGCTTTCATCTTGGTGTGGGCTTCATCCTAGCAACACAAATTCGAGGGGAAATTCTCACGTCAATTAGCCAACATCTCCTTGTCAATCACCATCTCTTCCAGCTGGACATTTGAAACTCCATCATCTACTTTTACTATGCCCATTGAACACTCTCCTCACGAGTACGTCGGACAGAATATCGCAAACTATTTTTTGAACACGGGGAGGCAAGTCAGGGGCCTAAAATGTCCGCACGTAAGATTTCACGCACCTCTACTATAGGTGCGATGACCGATTCATATGAAGATTTGAGTCGGTGGATGAAGATATGGCTGATGATTCAAGCTCTTCAACTTTAATGTACAAAGTGGGGTGCATAAATCGACACGATGGTCATCAATTAAAGTATAGACCCTAACCTAAGCTCGTAATGACCCCTCGTTATGTTCTGGACCACAGAAGCAAATTTTAAAAACCCGATGACCAATAATGGTGTTATCCAAAAGAAAAATATAGTAATTAATCACGGGCAAGGGCTAGAAATTTCTACATTTCCCTCGTTACCGTAGTAAGACGAGTGATCAAGGGCCATGCAACATCATTTGATAAGAAAATTTCACGTGAAGCACTCTTCATTGGCTTAGAAATCCTCATACGTGTCTCATCTAGTTTTGCGTGACAAACTTTGCGGTCAAACACTAATTTAATTTAATTTACCTGAGATTTTTTAATTCACTTAGGTTGTTTTTTAGGAAATGACAAGGCAGATTATCTTTGACCAAAACCTAGAAAATCTCTTAGATTGCTTTGAGGGCTTCGTCTTGTCTCATTTGCCCTTAAATTGTTCTTTATTGTGATCTTGTCTTATATCATGTTCTAAAAAGATAGTATAACATGAGCACACTTGATAGGCACGCGACATGATCATATAGTTAATCTAAAGTATACCATAATCTATGGTCTATGTCTCCATGCACGAAGTCATGGAGACAGCCCCGGTTCGTCCGACTAATATCAAGTGCCCACCACATTCAGAAAGCTACTGATCAGATTAATTTATGTAATTTAACAGGGGATTACCCACTAAGGAATATTGAAATAATTAATTCAAGAAAAGCTTAATCGAAACTCAATAGGGGTGATGACTTGGTCGAAATCTAGGGCTTGCTTGTGGGTTGAGTCGCCCCACGAAGCTTGCCTGCGTGTATGAGTTGACCGGCCGATATGCGATCGTCATGGATTAGATAATTGCTTTGGAATTGTGAGACTATTGCATTTCGATTTCGCCATCAAGCTTAAAATATTCTCTAATTATCTTTTTTTATTGCACCTAGAACGATTTGTGCGAGCAGATTTCACATGGTTTTGGGCTATTCTAGATGCTAGATCTAAAGCAATACACGTGTGGACTGAACTATTACTATTTATTGCATATTAATGAACTAATTAAATCTACGAAAATTAAAAGAAAGGTTATCGCTTAAGTTGAATAATAATCGAGGCATCCAATTTTCGACTAGTTCAATTTGGTTGATAGGATGGAGGTGACGGTGGTGGTCGACAGGTTGGAGGTGGGGGCTGATAGGACGGAAGTGGCGGTCGATAGGATGGAGGACGGAGGACGGAGGGTGCCATTACGGAGGCTGCTTGTACGGTGGAGAACATGTTGGTGGTGGGGGTCGATGTCTTGGAGAAGGCAGGGACGGTAATGGGGAGGTGGTTATGGATGCCGGCGAGATGGTGAAGGGTGTTTCGGGGAGGATGGTGGAGGCTGCCCATAAGATGGTGGCAGAGGCCGGTGGCTATTGGAGCGTGGTGGGGATCAAAGATCTATTAGGAATCTAAAATATGCTAAGTCTCGATATAACAAGAGATAATTTAAAGAATTTACTTTTTGGGATTATTGATGTATATGAACCGATCAAAGTGACAGGAGAAAAATTGCATCTCCTTTTGGCTAGCTAGAACAATAAAAGGGAAATTTCTTGGCAAATAAAACGATTTTGGTAAGTATAAATTTCTATACGACTTGAATTTTTTATATTCTATTTTAACAAAGGAGTGGTTTGATAATATGCGAGAGCAAAAGAGTCAAAGAACGAAAGGGCTCCTTTACTTCACAAGTCCAAGAAAGTTGGGAGGCCATTGGGCTTTATTAGCACACTCAATGGCTTTACTTTTACATGCTACAAAATGGGCAGTATACATTTTGGGCCTACTCTTGACGAACGAAATTCTAATATTGTTTAGGATAAGCAACCGGATACTAGTGTGCTCTAGAAAAATCATTGCTTTTGCACGAGTGCAATATTTAAAAGAAACAATTGACAATCTTTCATATCGAAATATTTTGATCACAACATGAAATGACGCGAACAACGATATTAATCTGATAATATGAGAAGATTTGCCATTCTTATAATTATCGAGATGTGATAATTTTTTTCTTCAGGCTTTTTCCTCCTGTATAATCATGGAAAATTGCCGTTTATTCAAATCCCGCTCGGTGTAATTTGCTTGCTCGCAAGCAAATCCAACCCAGTAGTATATGTTTCCCCATGTTGGTTTTTCCTTTTTTTTACATATCCAAAGAATCTCACTTGGTGGGAAATTTGAAGTAAGAGTTTTCAAACCCTAATTTTTCCAAGGATACCGGTTAAAGCAAGTTGATATGGTTTTCTTGGATGAATTAGTGGTGCAAAAGCCACCTTTTCTTTTTTATATGTTTTAACTGTACGGCTAGATGAACACTTCCCCTTCTTGGACCTTCAAGAAGCAGCCTTCTGCAAATCGCGTTTGATTTCCTTGATCATTGTATCAATATTTTCCAAATTGAGCTCGTCCTTATCCTTCTAAAATATCTACAAAATAGCCGCCGCCACGTAATAGCCACGTGGCCCTGGCCCACAGGATATCGCCATACCACTGCCCCACC